CTTCTGCTCATATAACATGGGCCAGAGGAGTGGGATTGGAAACTGGTGATGTAAAAGGCATTGATGTCATCAGGAGCCCAGTTGATCATTCCCCTGTTTCCCCCAATTTCATTGTCTTTGTCACAAGTTTTATTTTCACACTGATTGACACTGACTGGACATCAGTGTATTGCACATGATAACTGCACCCCCCACACCAACACACACACACACACACACACACACACACACACACACACACACACACACAGAGAGAGAGAGAGAGAGAGAGAGACAGATAAAAGAAAGAGAGGGAGAGAGAGAGAAAGAGAAACTGGGAGAGATTTTTGTTTTTAGAGATGTGAAGGGCCACTTATAATCCCTCTTGATTTATGACTCTAACTTTCAAATATCTGTATCTAATGAATTCTCTATATCTGTGCATTTTTGTTTTTCTTCTGTTTTCATTAGGAGAACACACATACCTTGTCTCTACAAGGGCTGAATGACCGGAACAAATAATTCTGCCATTGATAGCATGGCTACAGGGTATTTTAATTATAGAAAGTTCCTGTCCTCCAAGGCCCAGTGTCCCCTCAATGTCCTGTGTGCAACATAAAGTTTCAGCAACATCATGAAATCTCTTACTCAGATATAAACCACATTCTCAAGATAGAAAGGGAAGAGGGGTTCTGTTATCTGTGAATTCCAGGGAACCATCCACAGAAAGATCAAAAGTGGTAAGAATGTTGGGTGTTGTTATATTTGAACTGGATGGACCCATGTAAGTTGAATAGGCCTGACTTCGGTGGGGACACACTGATTCTCTCAAGTAGAGGTAAAGTTCCCATCCTCCACAGAACTTCATCTTATGGCTGCCATGATTCATCACAGTCACACAAGATTCCTAGGATAACCTTCCTGAACTGTACATGGTTGCTGAGAGCACATTAAACTGTCTACAAACATTTCAGAGCAATCCCTATATGGGGTGAGATTAATCAATTGGAGACCAAGATCTGTCAAATAATTATAGAGGTCAAATATTGTATATTGTGATTTTCCAAATGACATCAAGTCCACATGGTCACTGACATTGGTAAGTATTTTTGCCATGAGACATCAGAAAGTAAAAGCAAAATAATTTAGCTATGCATAGCCTGAAGGGTAAGTATAGAGGGGCCAGCAAGGGTGTTTCCTGAATCTACTCAGAGTTTCCTCCTCTCAGTTAACCACAGACAAGGCCCAGGACACCATCTCCAATGGCAGTTAGAATCCTCCCCTAGAAGGACACAAGATCAGTTAGTTTCTAGACTCTGTCACTCTCCTGGGACTACTACAGAAAAGGAAATGACACAGTTCAAAGGCCCTCTCTGTCACCATGGAGACAGTACATCTCATAAAAGCCATAATTGGGAGCCAGGACTGGACAGTCTAATCTTATGGAGAGGCAACTCAAGGTTCTTCATGCTGAGTCTCACCAAATCAGGATAGAGTTTCATGTCCCGGGAGGCTCCAGATTTCTTAGAGACACACATGGTTCCTTTATTTGAAAATGTTTGAAAATGTTTAAATCTGCTGACCCTGATGTACAGTAGTGCGAATTGAAACACAGACTTCACCAAACTAATAATTAATGCAAACAAAGATTCAAATTTAAGTTGCTTACAGGATCTAATTCAAATACCTTTGGGAGGTTTCCTGTGTCATGATATCATATGGCTTTATTTCTATTTTATACATTTATCTATTTATTTCTTATTGTATTCTAGAGTTCCTTTGCCTATATGGTGCAGCTTCTCATTTTGTCTTTTTATGGGGTTCCTGAGTAAATAAATCTGGTGGTCCCTGCAACCACACCTGTTTCTAGTGCCTTTTCTGGGGCTCTTGCTATTCAGTTTTTGGTTTGTTTTTTCCTGTTCAAATGTGTTATTTTTATCTCGTTTTACTTTGTGTATTTTATTCACTAGAATTCTATTTTTTGTCAAAAGACAGCAAGGTGGTGAATACGGATGGGGGGACTTGGGAGTTGAGGAGGGAGGAGGAAGTATGGGAAGAAGCTTCTCCCATCAGCATGTGTTTCCTCTACATTCTGCAGTCAGGAAGGAGGAAGAAGTATGATGGGGAAGTGCTTCTGTGTATGTGTTTGTCTTGCTGGATGATAAATAAAATACTGTTTGGCCAATGAGACAGCAAATTAGAAAGGACTAGGAGTCAAATAGGATTCTGGGGAATGTAGTAGAGAAGTGGTGATCCAGGCAGGAAGTGACATAGCAAGGAGACTCATTTAAGCAAGGAGAAACAGGAAGTGTCCCTTTTTTCCCCTTTGCCTCCTGAAGCAGCAATGGTAGAGCACCAATGGAAGGCGTGCAATAAGTCTTATAAAATATATAGATTTATGATAATTAAGACTGAGCTAACAGATGAGAATCCTAGTCATAGGCCAAGCAGCATTGTACCTAATACAACTGTCTCTGTGCATTAATTGGGGCCCTAACTCAGGCAGGCGGTTGGCATAGAGTGCACATGTGGTGTTGGGGGCTTGGAGGCTTTTGGCAGAAAGATTTATCATAACAGAAGTAGGTATGGACCCCATGCTACAATGACATGACAGCTTGCTAACTTTCTAGGAAAGATGGGAAAACATTACTTGTCTGGAAAAGGGAAGAAAAACTTGAGCAGTGTGGTCTTCCTAATCAGAAACCAGGAACTCAGGAAGCCAAGTGTTAATAGTAGATTGGAGTTGACATGAGACCCAAAAATACAGAAGCAGCAATTTCATTCATAGCAGCATTATTTGTAAAATCCGGAACTTGGTAATAACTTAGATGCCCCTTAACCAAATAATGGATGAAGTAACTGTGATATATTTACATAATGGAGTACTACTCAGCAGTAAGAAAAAAAGACATCCTAAAATCTGCAGACAAGTGGACTAAGCTAGAAAAAAAAAAACCAGCCTGAGTGAGGAAACCCATTCCCACAAAACAAATATAGTATGTACTCAATCATAAGTGGATACCAGAAATGAAGCAAAAGATACTCAGACTACAATCCTCCACCCCAGAGAAGCTTTAAAGCTCTACAATAAACAGATAGAGGCACATCCAGAAATCCACAACTAACCAATGGGCCAAGCTCCTGGGGTGCAATCAAAGTGAGGGAGGAGTGATAATATGAACAAAGGGGTCAAGATCATGATTGGAAAGTCCACAGAATCAGCAGACCTGAGACAGTGAGAGAACAGTGACTCTGGTCTGACTAATGGGGAACCTGCATAAGACTGAACAAGACTCCCTGAATATAGGTGACAGTGGTGCAGCTGGGACAATACCTTGAAAGACCCCGAAGGGATACTTTCGTAGAGGGAGACCCAAATACCCAGGAATCAGCGAGGCCACGAACTGGATGCAAAAAACAAGAGGCTTTATTGG